TAAATTGGGAATTGTTTAGAACTGACCATTCCCAACACTAGTTACATACAGCAGCACACTCATGGTTACCTGATGTTGAGACCTCCAGCAAAGTCTTCATCAAACAGCACTTCATAGAGAACCTCTGCCTCGCGCTCCGCTAAAGAAACAGACACAGATATACTGTTAATCACGCTCTTGTGTGTTACCCTTGATATGTGCAGACTTTGCATATGAGGACAATGACTGATGACGGGCGTCCTCACCTCCTTTAATGCCGATGATCGTCCCTCTGAGTCCCAGCGGGACGGTGAAGCTCTCCCTGATGTTGATGACTCTGTCAAACAGACGATATTCCGCGTCTGGGTCTGGAACTACACCCTGCTGCTGCTCCAAGGGCTGCACACAGATTTTTATTAATGTTATCAACTAATCTGCCATTGATCTTTAAATTAACTGATTAGGAAAAAAAAATTAAAAAAGAGAGAGAGACTGTGTGGCAAACATCCTTAAACACACTGCATGAAAATGCCAGGGGTTCAAAAGTAATGGGACACTTGGCTGCTGGCTGTTTCAGTGTCATGTCAAATATTAGCTCACAAACAATCAGGGTGAATTGAGAACGCACACTCACACATATAACCAGAAACCATACAGAATGAGTCTGATCTATAACCCCGGTCATGACTGCGTGGAGCACAGCACACCCAGCATCATCTCTGTGACCACTGCACATTTGTAATTCATCACTGAACATCACTTTCATCCAATCAGCCAAAGTCCACAGTTGCTTCTCTTAAGCCCACTGCAACAGCCTTTTCTTCCAAACACAAGAAATGAGGCTGTTACAGATCACGGTCACTGCTACAGTTTTCTTGTGTTGCACATGCACCTTTGGTCTGATCCGTCCTGACTTCACAGTGTTGCAGTCTGATGACAGACACAGGACATCCCAACCCTCTCCCTTGCTCTCTCTTTTGCTGCCCAGCCTTTGGGCTTAATCTCTTCTTTTGTTAATAAACAACATTTATCAGAGGTTAAACGGGTGACATGTTCCTCCTTGTGTCGCAGCCTTACGAGCCAGCTGTAGCCTGTTTCCCAATGCTTCATCGTAAACACTTGTTTGTGCCATTTTCTAAATTCA